GGAGGGGGTGAAGGGAGGGCAGGGAATGGGGAGAAAATAAGAACCAAGATTCATCATGTACAGGTACAAGCACCCAATGACAAATGTAAACGTATTGTATACCTAAAATGTACCAATAAAAGATTTTATGCAATTAAATAAAACCCATGGGGGATGCGTTGTACTTGAGAATTGAACCCAGGGCCTTCATATGGAGATATATATGCTCTGAATATTTGTATTCAGCTTTTTTATATTTTGAGACAGGGTCTAAGTCACTAAGTTGCCCAGGGTGAGCTTCAGCTTGTCACACTCCTGCCCAGCCTCCCAGACTGCTGGCATAGTTGTGTGCCACCACGCTCAGCAAAATCCAATGAAGTTTTACTCATGCTTTTTACTCAGTATGTTACCCCTTAATATTACTGGTTACCCAACTGGTTCCTAGTGCTTGTTCTTCATTCTTTTTATCTTTCTCCTTGTTCACTTTTTAAAGTTCTGCCAATAGTCTTTATTCTTATAAATTTCCCATTTATTTTTCAAAATGGTTTATTTTACAGGGCCGGGGATTTAGCTGTGGTTCCACTGCCTGCCTCAAAAGTGCAAGGTCTCGAGTTCAGTCCCTGGTACCAAAACAACAAAAATGGTTTCTTTTACTTATCTTTACTTGTATTGAAAATTCCAAATTGCCAGTTTCTATCCATGTTTGGTAATATTACTCCATTTTTTCTTTAGTATTCCATTACATTTTGACCTCCGCTGGTGTTTTTAACTGTACCATGTGGCAGTTTAGGTGAGTTCTTTTTCCTAGTTGCTATTACCAATCCTTTTTTTGGTGCCAGGGATCAGACTCAGAACCTTGTACCTGCCAGGCAGGCACTGTGCCACTGAACCAAATCCCCGGCCTGTTATCATCTTTGTATGTTGTTTGGCTTTTCCTTGGCGTGTGTCCTTAAGATCTTGTTTATTCAGCTAGTAATTTATTTCTTCCCCAAAAACCTTATTTCTTCAAGTCTGGAAAAACTTCAACCATTTTATCATCAAAAACTGCTTCTCTCTCATTGTTTTTTCCATTTGGAATTTCCATTTAACTTCATATTGGACATCTTATTGGTGTATTCTCTTGTCCTCCCTTCTTGTTCCTTCTGAATGAATTCTACAGATTTCAGTTCTCTTGGGTCTAATACACAGTTAAACTCATCTACTTGATAGGTCATAGATTATGTCACTGGAAATTTGAAGAATGGCTAGAGTTTCAGTTCCAGCACCTGCTTCACAACCGCAAGGTCCCGAGTTCAATCCCCAGTACCAAAACAAAAGAATGGGTAGAGTTTCAGTTGAGGTGGATAATAGTGATGGTTGCAATGACGATGAATGTACTTAATGCCACTGAATTATACACTTAAAATGCTAACTTTATGTATGTTCTAACATCATGAAATTTTGAATAAACAATGTATATCAAGGGCAGTTTTGCTCTCTCCCACACTGCTCCTTCCTCACCTCATTTTTCTCATTCATATTCCGTAATAATTTATTAGACTCTTCAGTATTCTTTTAGCATGTGATTTTTTTGTGTGTGTGCTGGAGATCGAACTCGGGACCTTGCGCTTGCGAGGAAGGCGCTGGAACCACTGAGCTAAATCCCCGGGCCACGTGATTTTTTTTTTTTTGGTACCAGGGATTGAACTCAGGACCTTGTGCTTGTAAGGCATGTGTGGTGCCACTGAGCTAAATCCCCAGCCCTAGTATGTGGTTTTTTAAAAATATAAATTAATCAAGTCAAATATATCATCTTATTTTTTCCCAGACCAACAAAAACATGACTGATCAATTTAAGTATTCAAAAGCAGAAACTGAAAGAGTATGTAAGAGATGGAACAGAAAGGATTCCTGTATGGCAAGTTAGTCCTGTACTGCAAAAGTTAAGTCAGTGGTGAAACACAGGAGAAACATATTTGGATAACTAGCACATGATACTAATTTTAAAGTACCAGTGACTAATACATTAAAGGAAAAAACCAAATAACCTTGTTAAATAGGTCAGGAACAATGAAAACCAAATACGGCGATTTTTTTTTTTTTTTTTGGCGGTACCAGGGATCAAACTCAGGACCCTGTGCTTGCGAGGCAGGTGCAGTGCCACTGAGCTAAATCACTGGCCCTATGGCAATTTTTTTAATTGGCAAAGAAACTGCTAAACCATTAAATTAACCAAGTAACATTATTTCTCATGCCTTACTCCATTCCAAGCTAATCACACCATTATCAAAATTTCTCTCCCAATGTATTTTCTTGTGGTTACATTGTTATTTTCCTCCTTTACATCAGAGACATCCACTCCAAAGTAAATCCTGAAGTTAAAATAATACTCAAAAAAAGTCACAAAGAAGTCAGAATTATATTTTATTTCACAATGATAGAAACCATGAGAAACATTTACATTGCCCCACATTACAGCACAACATTTCAATCGAGTATTTCTTGCTATAAATAAGATCTTACTGATTTGCATAACTAAAATAAGTCTACAGTTTTTCAACGTAAAGCAGAATGACACAGTAAATGATTGTTTAAAATTTTTAAATCCAGATAAACATATGGCTTCATTATAAACATCCTAGTCCATTACCAGATTATTTCCATGATCAATTAGCACCATAAAGATGCATTCTTGCTGGGGATTTGGCTCAGTGGTGCCGCCACCTGCCTTGCAAGTGCAAGGTTGTGAGTTTGATCCCCGGCACCAAAAAAAAAAAGATGCATTCTTAACATTGTTTTGGTAAGTTGAAATACAGCAGGGCCAGAGATTTAGCTCAGTGGTTTTGCTGCCTGCTGCACAGGCACAAAGGACCCGAGTTCGATCCCCTGTACCAAAAAAAAAAAAAGAAATACAGCAGGAAATTAACACAGTTCAGAAATATTAAGCATATATTTTTGCTACATTTTAAACTGTATGGTAACTCTTCCATATTTATAGGGTTCTGATTAACCTTTATTACCCCAAAATTTGTTTTCAAATAATTTTTTACTATTAATCTGCAAATTTTGACTATTTAAAATCAAATGCTTTGTTTTTGTGTTTGCACAAAAGACTAATTTTAAAAAATAATTTGAAGTGAAAATTTCAAATAAGACCATTGGCAGATAAAAATAAAGCAATTTTTTCTTTTTTTTTTGGTACTGGGGATCGAACTCAGGACCTTGTGCTTGCGAGGCAGGTGGCAGAACCACTGAGCTAAATCCCCAGCCCCTAGCAATTTTTTCTAATGGATTGTTTTCTACAGTAGTTGGTTTCAAACATATGTACAAAAAAGTAATGTGGCAAGGAGACTCAATAAGAAATTAGCTTTTAAAATCAGTCTTAAATATTTCTGTATATACCAGAATATGATCTAATTATTCAACTGCTTACAGAAAAAGTAAGATTTTATTATCTGAATTCTAAATAACTAAGTCTAAATTTGAACTAAAGTATAATTATTTGAAATATATAATATAAGAAGTTTAAGTAATGTTTGGTTTCTTTTAAAGTTACATAAATTTCAAACACCATGTGTCTGTAATTCAGAATGTCAAATTATAGAATGTATTGACAGTAGATGTATATGGCAGGGAGGCAATATATTTGGTCTGTTATGAAGGATAATCACAAAAGAAAACATTTTTTTCTTGAGAAAAGAAAATATTAAAAAGAAATACCATCAAGGAAAAGAAAAACTGATCCCCCAAATAAAGGGGCCATTA